GGCGCATCGCCCTATGACATCGGCTCGCCCCCTCGCACAGGCGCCACTCGCCCAAGGGCATCGGTACGCCTTTCTCGCACAGACGCCACGTGCCTCGGGTGGTATAGCCAGGTCTGTTCACTTGGGGATACGCTCGCCCCCAGCTCAGTTTGGCATCCTCCAGAAGGCAGCACTACCACCAGTGCCGCCCCCCCCTTACTCTCCCCGCTGGCGATGCTCACCACGCCAGCTGGTCTTCCCCCCCTCACTCTGAGGCCTGACGCCGTACCGGCACGCACTGCGTGGCCCACAGTCGCTCGGTTCCCCCATGCACTGTGGGGTGGTTTGACGGTTGGTGGTATCGCCACGGAGTGGTTCAGCCTTCCGCAGCAGCTACAGCACCCCAGGCTCACCACCAGCTTCCGGCATATTGCGTTGGACCACGTTCCGCGACAGCTCAGCCCCCCTAGCTAGCACACGTCGTCCAGGGCGTTTGGAGCCTGGCGCCGCACCGGCGACTCATTCCACCGGCCTCGCACTTGCCCCCACTTAGATTGACGGGCTGGGTTATCCTGGTTCACGTCTCATATTGTGGCAGGCGCTGAATTCCATTACATTTTGTTTGTGCACGTGCTCGAGCTCTCAGGACACCCCTGCCGGCAGCTCCCCTTCAGCTTCGCGGCTGCTTTGTGAGCGGGCCAGCCGTGCCTGTTGTAGCCAATTAGCTTCGTTCGTGGCCCGGACGTTGCCTTCGCCGCCTGACCCTTGTCTCGTGGCCGCTGACCAACAAGTATCCCCACCAGATAGTGTGCCTGACGGTCGCTTTACGACCTGTTTGGACGGCGCGCAGGCTGGTGGGATTATACAACGAGCCCGCCGCATGCGCCGACTTTTTTCGTTAAACCAATGTGGGCAGGTCGCGGGTGGGTCGCAAATGGGTCGCGGGTGGGTCGCGGGTGCAGAAGGTAAAAAATCCACCCCATAATAATCACCCCGCCAAGCGAAGCCGTTGAGTAAACGCACGCAAGGAATCGATCGAACAGGGCAGGGCTGTTTAGTCAAGGCCCAGGACGTTTAGTAAACGTCAATTGTTGGGTCCGGGTGTTTTTTCCTCCCTGGAGGGTGTGTAGCGGGGTGGGTCGCGGGTGGGTGTCTGGGTTGGTCGCGGGGTGGTCGCGGATGGGTCGCGGATGGGTCGCGGGGTGGGTTGCGGGGTGTGTCGCGGGTGGGTCGTGGGTGGGTCGCGGGTGGGTCGCGGGTAGGTCGCGGGGTGGGTCGCGGGTCGGTCGCGGGTTGGGTCGCGGGTGTGTCGCGGGGTGAGTCGCGGGGTGGGTCGCGGGGTGGGTCGCTGGGTGGGTCGCAGGGTGGGTCCTGGGTGGGTCGTGGGTGAGACGACAACAACAACAACCCACAACAACAACAACAACAACAACGACGCAACAAGTAGAATTTTCACAACGAATTCTTTATTCAGCCACGCACCCACGGACAAATAATGACCGGTCGGCCCCCTCACTCTGACGAAGTACCGAACACAATCAGACTGTATGACGACAGGGGGCCGAGCACATTCTCATGTATTACGTATATTTGTTTGTATGTATGTATGTGTATATATATATATATAATATATATATATATATATATATATATATCGGAGGTGAGGGGGTGAGATCGAAGTGGAACGGAGAGCCCCCCTACCGGGAAATCGATTTCGGTTTCGTGTTCGTGCGTGCCGTGCGTGCGGGCGAGGCGAAGCTGCGTGGGCGGGCGAGAGAAAGTCTCCTGTGGCTGAGGCGCGGCCGGACCAAATGTCTCCCTTCCGGGCGGCCGGGGGCCCGCGGTGTCCCGCCGGTGTCCCGCTGGTGTCCCGTGTGGCTGAGGCGCGGCCGGACCAAATATCTCCCTTCCGGGCGGCTGGGGCCCCGCGGTGTCCCGCTGGTGCCCCGTCGGTGTCCGGATTATGGTGATGATATTGATGATGATGATGATGATGATGGTGATGATGATGACGATGTTGATGTTTTGTTCCCAACCATCCTGTGGTGTTGGGTCCTCGTTTTGAAGAGACGTCGCCCCGCGTTCCTTCCTCCTCCTTCCTCCTCCTCCCCTTCCTCCCCCCTCCATTCTGGCACACCCCTCACACGTTTCGTGGCCCCATAGGGAGCTCCACCGAAGGCCCCAGTGGCTGCGCCCGCATGCGGTTCCACCCCCCATTCTGGCACACCCCTCACACGTTTCGTGGCCCCATAGGGAGCTCCACCGAAGGCCCCAGTGGCTGCGCCCGCATGCGGTTCCACCCCCCATTCTGGCACACCCCTCACACGTTTCGTGGCCCCATAGGGAGCTCCACCGAAGGCCCCAGTGGCTGCGCCCGCATGCGGTTCCACCCCCCATTCTGGCACACCCCTCACACGTTTCGTGGCCCCATAGGGAGCTCCACCGAAGGCCCCAGTGGCTGCGCCCGCATGCGGTTCCACCCCCCATTCTGGCACACCCCTCACACGTTTCGTGGCCCCATAGGGAGCTCCACCGAAGGCCCCAGTGGCTGCGCCCGCATGCGGTTCCACCCCCCATTCTGGCACACCCCTCACACGTTTCGTGGCCCCATAGGGAGCTCCACCGAAGGCCCCAGTGGCTGCGCCCGCATGCGGTTCCACCCCCCATTCTGGCACACCCCTCACACGTTTCGTGGCCCCATAGGGAGCTCCACCGAAGGCCCCAGTGGCTGCGCCCGCATGCGGTTCCACCCCCCATTCTGGCACACCCCTCACACGTTTCGTGGCCCCATAGGGAGCTCCACCGAAGGCCCCAGTGGCTGCGCCCGCATGCGGTTCCACCCCCCATTCTGGCACACCCCTCACACGTTTCGTGGCCCCATAGGGAGCTCCACCGAAGGCCCCAGTGGCTGCGCCCGCATGCGGTTCCACCCCCCATTCTGGCACACCCCTCACACGTTTCGTGGCCCCATAGGGAGCTCCACCGAAGGCCCCAGTGGCTGCGCCCGCATGCGGTTCCACCCCCCATTCTGGCACACCCCTCACACGTTTCGTGGCCCCATAGGGAGCTCCACCGAAGGCCCCAGTGGCTGCGCCCGCATGCGGTTCCACCCCCCATTCTGGCACACCCCTCACACGTTTCGTGGCCCCATAGGGAGCTCCACCGAAGGCCCCAGTGGCTGCGCCCGCATGCGGTTCCACCCCCCATTCTGGCACACCCCTCACACGTTTCGTGGCCCCATAGGGAGCTCCACCGAAGGCCCCAGTGGCTGCGCCCGCATGCGGTTCCACCCCCCATTTCGGCACACCCCTCACACGCTTCGTGGGTGGCTCCATGGGGAGCTCCACCGAACGCCCCAGTGGCTGCGCTCGCATGTGGTTCCCCCCCCCATTTCGGCACACCCCTCACACGGTTCGTGGCCCCATAGAGAGCTCCACCGAAGGCCCCAGTGGCTGCGCTCGCATGCGGTTCCACCCCTTTTTTCGGCACGCCCTTCACACGTCTCGTGGCCCCATAGGGAGCTCCACCGAACGCCGCAGTGGCTGCGCTCGCATGCGGTTCCACCTCCCATTTCGGCACACCCCTCACACGTTTCGTGGCTCCATAGGGAGCTCCACCGAAGGCCCCAGTGGCTGCGCTGGCATGCGGTTCCACACCCCATTCTGGCACACCCCTCGCACGTTTCGTGGCCCCATAGGGGGCTCCACCAAAGGTCCCAGTGGCACTGCCCGCTTGCGTCCGCCACCACCCAGCACAGCCCTTGTTCCCTGCGCTTCGCCCACCCAGAACAGCGCTTCGTAGCCCTATAGGGAGCTCCACCAAAGGTCCCAGCGGCACCGCCCGCATGCGTCCGCCACCACCCTGCACAGCCCTTGCTCCCTGCCTGCGTTTCACCCACCCAGTACAGCGTTTCGTGGCCCCATAGGGAGCTCCACCGAAGGTCCCAGTGGCACCGCTCGCATGCGTCCGCCACCACGCAGCACAGCCCTTGCTGACCGCGTCTCGCCCACCCAGTACAGCGCTTCGTGGCCCCATAGGGAGCTCCACCGAAGGTCCCAGTGGCACCGCCCGCATGCGTCCGCCACCACCCAGCACAATTGCGGCATTCACAATTGCATATGGTTGGGTCCTTCGCCAGGCTAATTTTGATGATCGATAGTGAGATCGGTAGTGATATCGATTGTGAGATCGAATGTCAGATCGCTTGTGAGATCGATTGTGATACCGAATGAGAGATCGATAATGAGATCAATAGTGAGATCGATTGTGAGACCGAATGGGATATCGATTGCGAGATCGATTGTGATATCGATAGTGAGATCGATAGTGAGACCGAATGTGAGATCGATTGTGTGATCTATTGTGAGATCGATAGTCAGATTGATTGTGAGATCGATCGATTTAATTAGTAGTGAGATCACTATCGGTAATGAGATCGGTAGTGATTTCGATAGTGAGATCGATGATGAGACCGAATGTGAGATCGATTGTGAGTTCGGTTGTGATATCGATAGTGAGATCGATAGTGAGATCGATAATGAGATCGAACTTGAGTTCGATAGAGAGATCGATAGTGAGGCCGAATGCGAGATCGATTGTGATATCGATTGCGATGTCGATAGTGAGATCGATAGTGACACCGAATGTGAGATCGATCATGAGATCGGTAGTGAGTTTGATAGTGAGATCGATAGTCAGATCGAATGCGAGATCGATTGTGACATCGATTGTGAGATCCATAGCGAGACCGAATGTGAGATCGATTGTGGGATCGATTGTGAGATTGATTGTGAGATCGATAGTCAGATCGATTGTAAGACCTATCGGTTGAGATCGATTGTGAGATCGGTAGTGAGTTCGATAGTGAGATCAATCGAGTGTGACGTTGGTCCCTCCCCCCCCCCTCACCTTCTTATTACCCGAAGGGTGGTCCTATGCGGTATATATATATACACATACACGTGTTACCGTCCTCGTCTATCCCCCTCATTCCTCGTCCTGTTTTGTGTGTGCGTCCACAGGACGCCAAGAAGAACGCCGAGTCCAGCGTGAGCAGCATTCAGAAAGATGTCGAAGCCAAGATGCCCGACATCCAGGGCAAGCTTGGCAGCGCAGCTGCCGCGTGCAAGGCGGCTTCTCCACTCTGCCAGAAGGCGAAGCTAGGGTGAGGGTGGGCGAGAATGGTCAATTGGGGGACCCTGACATCCGACGTCTCGATTTTTTCGAGACGCGGGCCCTCGACCTCCCGACCACTTCCCCGGGACCGGCTTTTCACCCCGAGTCGTTTTTCGACAGTCCCGAGGCCCGGCGAGGGCCCCGAGAGGCCGAAAACGACGAAAAACCTTCGTCTCGATTTTTTCGAAACGCCCGATGTCTGGGGAAGAGGGGGAAAAGCAGGAGGAGAGGGAGGAGGGGCCGGCATATGTTCGCAGAGGGAAAGCAACAGAACGCCCGACGGGCGGTTTTTTGTAGACGTCGACGTCCGGGGGCAGAGCGCGCGGACGCGACAGCGAGGCCGGGTCCCGGAGGATGGTGTCGAGGGATGCGGGCGGGGCTTGCGTCCGAGGCTCCGTGAGGAGGAGGGAGCCGCAGTTTGGTGATGGTCTGCGCCCCCCCCTTTCGACTCGACGTAAGAGTGACCTTTCGCCGGAGTGACCTTTGGTGCGGGCACAGATGGGCCCTCAGATGGCTGAAAACGAAGCAGTAGCAGCGGCTTGCGCGCCCAGGTTTGGTCTCCCCTTGGCCCCCCAAACGCTGCGCACCAAAGGTCACTCTTACCCAGGGTCACTCTTGCGTGTAGCCGACCCTTCCCCTCTGCCGCGCGGGGAGGACGCCGTCGTGTCCTGCCCCGACCTGGACAAGGCCGGGGGCGGGGGGGGCCTCCCGAGGGAGGGGGATCAGTGGGAGGGGCGACGAGATGGGGTGGCAGGAGGCGGGGGATGAGGAGTGAGGGATGGAGAGGTGGAGGAGGGTGGAGGAGGTGGAGGAAGTGAAGGAGAACAGGGAATCAGAGGAGAGGAGGGCACCGAGGAGAGGAGGACACTCCTGCCCCTCCCCGTCCTCTCCTCCCTTCCCTCCCGTTGCTGCTCGTCCTGTCCTGACGCTACACCACTGCCTTTCTCCTCGCCCTCTTCTTCGTCCTCCCCATCTTGTGTACTGTGCTCCTCCTCCACCTCCGTTCGTTGTCGTCCCTCCGCGGCCTTGGCTCCCCTGCGATGTTTCGGCACCTGGGCAGCCTCTGCGCTGTTGTTCTGGCCCGCTGGGGCTGCGCTCGGGCCCGGGGACCGTCAGCAGACGACCCGTGATGACGCAGCAGTGCTCCGTCGTCGAGACTGCGCCGCGGCTCCTCGCGGCGCCGGAGCTCTGCGCCGTGGCTCCTCGCCGGGGGGGCTCTGCCCCTGCCGCCGGCTCCTCCCGAGGCGTCCCCCGTGCTCCTGCTCCTCTTGGTGCCCGCTCGGGGCACCTCCGCCACCGAACATGCCCAGACATGATCGCGTCGTGTGAAAAAGTTGGACGGGAGGCGTTTGGCCGTGTTCGGCCCGCGGCCCTCGCCGGGCCTCGGGGCCGTCAAAAAACGACGCAGGATGAAGAACAGCGTCCGGGGAAAGCGTCGGGACTTCCAGGGGCCCCCTATTGTAAACATCAGGACGTCGCATGTCTGGGTATACACGACACCCTACAGTGAATTTGTCCTGTGCCGCATGGGGAGGAAGGCATGAATCACCACTGACAGCCAGCGACCTGGTACACCGCCACGTTCCCTGAAGGTGCATGCAAAGTTCGTCGACGGGTGTCTGTGCATATCAGTTTGAGGGGGCCGAGCGGTCACTCACTGTCCCTGGGCGCGTGGCTGAAGTGAGGCTCTGTGGTGCGCATTGTTGTTATTGGTGGTGGTGGTGGTAGTGTTGTTGCGGTTGTTTGGTTTCTTGTTATTCTTGGTGGTAGAGGTGGGTGGTAGCTGTTGTTGTTGCTGTTGTTGAATGTTATATTGTTGGACCCCCCCAGGCGCCCTGGCGCTCTCGCCTCGGCGCCGGCTACATTTTCATTGAAAATGAGTCTCACGCTCGAGCGGTTTGGGGGGTGCCAAAATTGGCCCCCCACCTACAACAACGCTCCCGCTCGAGACTTCTTCTGTTTTTCCCCTCAGAGCCGGTGCTCTTGCTCGCCGCCAAAAACCGCCGCCCCAACAAAACCAACGCTCCCGCTCGAGACTTCTTCCCGTTTTACCTTGGACTGGCGCGCTACTCTTTCTCTCATCGAGACTTCTTCCCGTCCTGCTCAAGGCGGTGTTCCTCCTCGCCGCCGACAACCGCCGTCCCAACAGAACCCGCGCTCCCGCTCGAGACTTCGTTTTGTTTTACGCTGGACTAGCGCCCTACTCTCTTCTGCATTGGCGCCGCTCCCAGCAACAATAGCACCCCTGCTCGAGACTTCCTCCCTTTCTATTCAGGGCCAGTGCCTTGCCTCGCCGCCGGCAGCCCCCATCCCCAGCAAGCCAATCCTGTCGCTCGATACTTCCTTGTGCTTTACCCTTGGCTGGGGCTCCACTGGCGATCTCGCATCGGCGTAGCAGGGCGTGGGCATGTGTTTTCGAGGCAGGATATGTTGACATTCCTCGGAGGAGGTGTTTGCAAGACCTCATTGGGCGGGAGATTTGGGAATGGGAATAACGGACCCCCGCGATAGAACAATGGGGATGGTTATCATGATGGTCGCATGCTGCGTGTGGAAGCATCGCGCATGAGGGTAAACTAATTGTTGTTGTTGTTGCTGCTGTTATTGTTATTAACTGTGTTGATGTGTTGTGCTGTGTGTTGTTGTTGGTGCTGCTGCTGTTGTTGGTGTTGTCGCTGTCGTTGTTTGTTGTTATTTGTGTGGGGTTGGTGCTGTTGTTATTGTTGTTGGTTGTTGTTGGTGGTGATGTGTGTGTTGGTGATGTGTTTGGTGTTGTTGTGGTTGTTGGCGTTGTTTGTCGTTGTTGTTCGTTGGTTGTTATGTGTTGTTTGTTGTGTGTTGTTTGTTGTTGTTGGTGGTGTTGGTCGCGACCCACCCGCGCCCCACCCGCGACCCACCCCGCGACCCGCCCCGCAACTCGCCCCGCGACATCCGTGACCCACCCGCGACCCACCTGCGACACCTCCACATTGCTTTTTTTTATATATACAAAAAAAAAAAAAAAAAAAAAAAAAAAAAAAAAAAAAAAAAAAACGGCGCCTGCGGCGGGCTCCTGGTATAATTTGTTAAAATTGGATGAGACCGCCAACGTCCCCGCCGGCCCCTCACTCTTATCAGCAACTGCGGGTGGCTACGACATTGTCCTGGCGTTGCACTGCCCTTGTCGTGTGCTCACCGCCTGGAATTGGGAAGGAGCAGCGCGCCACCCCCACCCTTCCATCTGGGAGAGTGCGGGATGAGCCGATCTGCGGGGTGCAGGTGTGCAGGATGCCCCACGGACGGGAGCGCCCGAAAAAGGCTGTGCACCACCACCACCCCTGACCACCCGCTGCCTTCGCCCTCCCGGTGGTGGTGGTGGTGGATGGTTACATGCCGGTCGCTGAAAGTAGGTATTTTTTGATTCCCAGGTCCCAATCTATTTCAAGCGCCTTCCTACTTCAAGAATCGACATGACTTTGCTGTGTTCTGTTGCTCTCTGGGAGGGCCTGGATCCAATCCAACCTGTCCGCCTTCCTACTTTATGTTTTTACCCACTTCTTCCGACCGACGTGTACGCTTTTTTTGTTCTTCTTCTGCTCTCCCCCCTGTGGGCGGGAGAAGGGGGGGGCAGCGTGGCAGGACAGGCTTCGGCTGGGCCGGGCGTCCCGCAGCACGCCGGGGCAATGCAGAGCCCCCCCCCCCGCGCGCCGCGCGGGGCTCCTACGGGCCCTCGCCGGCGCTCGCGGGCCGCCATGCAGGCAGTGGTCAGGAGGGAGAAAAAAAAAACACAGACACAATTGATCGTCGGTTCCCCAGTAAATATTGTAAAATATGAGCAGGGGGGGGAAGACAGAAACCCAGAACATATGGGAAAATATGGGGAACCTTTTTATTTGTGTGAATTTATTTGTGTGCCCCAGGGCCCCTTCAAGTGGGCGCGGCGGCCTGACGGAGAGAGGGAGAGAGAGAGGGAGAGGTCAAGCGGTGGCGAAACGTCCTGGCTCGCCTATAGCCCCACCAAACAATGTTCTAAGAACCTTTTGTGGATCCCAGGAAAAGGTTCTTAGGACATTTCTGGCCGGGGCTGTCTTGTCTGAACACATCGGGCTTATGTTCTAAGGACGTTGTTTTTATTATTCGAACATGTTTGGGTTCTAAGAACATGGCGTGGTAGAACTATAGGAATGCTGGGACGGTCGGTCCCTGCTCAAGCATCGTTGATCGAAGAGAACAACAATTGCACAATCATAAGCTTTTGGCGCTCTGGGCCGTCTACTTGGATCTGCGCTGGGCCCCCATTCGCCATCCCCATCCAGACCCCTACAATTTTGCTACACTAGTTTGGGACAGTCCCGATCGAAGCCCAAAGAGAGCAGCCTGTGCCCACATCTAGGGGGGCCACACGGCCAGTGGGGCTCAGGCCACGCCCATGGGGATAGGGGCTGGTCAGTCGGCGGCGAGCGAGGGGGGAGTGAGAAGGAGGAGGCCCTCTCAGAAGCGCTCCGGCCTTCTGAGAGGTTCCCTGGGCTGGGGAAGGCTCAGAACACTGCTCGGAAGGCCGGGGGACTTCCGAGCCTTCTGAGCAGACCCGCCGAGTCGGCGGCTTCACAGGGAAAGGGCACGGTTGCGCTGGGGTGTGGTTCGCGATCGGCGCCGCTGGGGCTCGGGGAGGAGGAGGAGGAGGAGGAGGAGGAGGAGGAGGAGGAGGAGGAGGAGGAGGAGGAAGAGGAGGAGGAGGAGGAGGAGGAGGAGGAGGAGGAGGAGGAGGAGGAGGAGCACGACACCGTCCTCGTCGTGCCTTAAAGGGGGGGGGGCGCGGCGGAGAACGCTGTCACTCGGGGTGCCCACCCGTGCCGCCGGGGGGGGCCCCTCCCCAGGGCTTGCCGGCGGCAAGCCGCACCCTTTGAGAGCCACACCCGCCGAGAGGGGGGGGGGGCGTGGGGGGGTGGACAGGCCTCCTGCCCTGACACGTCGATTGGCCAACTGGCCTGCCTCCGGGGGGGGCCCCTCCCAGGGCTTGCCGGCGGCAAGCCGCACCCTGTGAGAGCCACACCCGCCGAGAGAGGGTGGGGGACGTCGGGGGGGTGGACAGGCCTCTTGCCCTGACGCGTCGATTGGCGAATGGGCCTTTTTCGGTTCGCGAGAGGGCGTCGCGGCCGTCGTTTTTGCGGGTCCAGGTCCGTCGGTTTCGGTCCCAGGCCGTTCTCACGAAGGGGAGGTTTACTAAAGGGAGGTTAGTCCACCGCCGAGGGCAGAGAGTCAAGCAGTGGAGAAGGGTCCCAGCTCGCCTATAGGCCTACCAGAGAATGTTCTAAGAACCTTTTGTGGTCTGCACCAGGCACGTTCTCAGAACACTTCTGGCTGGGACTGCCTTGTTTTCACACCTCGGGGTTATGTTCAAAGAACATTGTTTTTTGTTCTTAGAACATTTTTGGGTTCTGAGAACATGTCGTGGTAGGCCTGTAGGAATGCCAGGACGGTCGGTCCCTGCTCAAGAGAGCTCGGGCGCCAGGGGCCCCGTGGGGGCCGTCGCGGCCCCCAGGCACCGTTGGCCGTGCTGCCGCTGAGGTCCGTAGCCCCTTCGGCTCGAGCGGATCGCGCGCCGCAGCCGCACACACACACACACACACACACACACACACACACACACACACACACACACACACACGCACACACACAGGGTAGAAGTTGAGTGGGGCCGAGGGTGAGAGAGCGCCTTCCTCTGTAGTGGACACCAAAAGGGGGGCGTCAAGGTGGTGGAACGCCTCGCTGGGTAAGCCGACGAGGATGTGTCAAATCCAGCCATTCGCATGTGTCCAGAGTGACGGCTTGACGCCAGGTGTGGTGCATCAATTTCCGCTTGACCGAACAGGTTGGTTGCGCCCCTTGATGTCCGTGTTGGGTGTTCTGCAGACCTGTCCCCTCAGCCCTACTCAAGATAGAAGTTGGTGCCAGGACTGAGGCCGCCATTCAACGTGGTCGTCTCATGGCATTGCCGTCGGATTCGCAAAGCTTTGTGATCGTCGGTGCTGGTGCCATTGGCACCTTCGTCGGCTTGGTGTTGCACGATGTTGGCTTCAAGGTGCGTTTCCTGCAGCGCGAATCCTCGACTGCACAGGCTCAACGAGGTGTTCTCGAAAAAGTCGGTTTGGTGGGTCTCTGCTCAACCGATCCTAGCTACCGCACAGAAATATCCGCTGACCGCGTTGGCGAGATGTTCACCACTGATCCCACCTGTCTGACCGCATGTTCGTACATCTTGGTCGCCACTAAACGAGGTGCAAATGCAGCAGTCTTAAAGCAGCTCGTTGACAACGGTGTGAAGTGTCCAGTTTTTCTGTTGCAGAACGGGCTGTCCGCGTCGAAAGGGATGCAAGCGAGTACGGATTTTGAGGTGATCGAAACCGTGGTGAGCTTCAATGTCGTTTACGATGGTTCTAAGGGGACTGCGACGCTGGCGCAGTCTAAGGCAGAAGCCAAGCTGCTTTTCGATGGGAGCAGGACGGCAGGAAAGCAGCTGGCAAAATTGTTGATGGAGGTTGGCCGTCAGCCCACGTCTGACAGCCGCGGCGCCGATCGAGCCAGTGACAGTTCTCTGGCCTTTCTCGGCAGAGGCTCGGGGCTGCCCTTCACGGCGGTCGCGGCGGCTCCTCTTCTCGGCTACCAGGCGGGCAAGCTCGTCCTCAACATGACCAATGCGGTGAACGCCCCGAGCGCAGCAGACCCAGGCCTGTCGACCAAGGCCAGATCGGGCCGCCGAACCGACCGCTCCGCCGATCGTTCCACACCGGCCGGCTGTTACCAGAGGCAAGGGCTCCCACGAGGGCGCGAAGGTATTCGCGCTTCGCGGTCCCCGTTCTTTCTCCCCCTCCTCCTCGTCCTCCTTTTCTCCCTCTGGGGGGGCGGCGCGAGAGCGCGAAGTTTTTCGCGCTTCGCGGAGCGCACAGCGCGAAGTTGGGAGCCCTAGCAGAGGCGGCCTTGGTATAGAGGGGGCCCCCGTTATCCAGAGAGGCCCAGATGGCATCTCGGGCAGGCCAAGGACCGGGATGAATCGTCCAAGAGGGTCCAGCAACGTTCTCAGAGCGTTGTGGGGCGTTCTGGAACGGCAGCGGCGCCCGCTGCATCCTCCAGAGCCGCTGCCGATGTGTCCCTGTGCGATGCTGTCCCCGCCTCGGCCTCGTCTTACATCCAGAGCACCTCACATGGGGCCCAGAGGGCCTGGGTGTCGGAGGGGGCGGATGCGACACCAACACCACCAGGGGTGCCACCTCCAGCGAGGAGGCCCACGATGCTTCCCCGAGCTGGTGTCTGGGGATGCCTCGAACGAGAGGGGGGCCACACCACTAGGGCGACCGCCGTTGCTTTAAGTCGGGCGTGTCCCTCTACAGGAGGGATATTCAAAAGTAATCAACAATAGCCTGGTGAAGATTTTCCGAGTACGTTTGATCATGTTTGAATATGTTTAACACTGTTCCATTCTTCCTCCGAAATCCGTCTGTCGAGGGCCATGCCCGACCTAACCCTTGCTCCTCGCATCTCCTCGCTCTCGTGGTGTTGGTGTCGCCTCTCCTTTGCTGCAGGGGGGGGGGGCCCAAGGGAGTGCGCGACGAGCTGGGGGCGCCGAGGTGGCTCGGGGCGCACCGCTGGCAGCCTCTGAGGCGGAGCGGATGAGCGGGCCGCAGGTCGGCATGGTGCTCCTTCGAGGAGGAGAGGGAGGCGGAGAAAGAGGAGGCGGAGAAGGGGGAGGAGGAGGTGGAGGAGGAGGAGGAGGAGGAGGAGAAGGAGGAGGAGGAGGAGGCGGCGGGGGAGGAGGAGGAGGAGGAGGAGGAGGAGGAGGAGGAGGAGGAGGAGGAGGAGGAGGAGGGGGAGGAGAAGGAGGATGATGATGATGAGGAGGAGGAGGAGGTCTGGGATGGAGCTGGTCGGCTGCACCGGGAGCTCGGGCCATCAGGCCGGGGATGCTCGGGTTGAGCGGTGTTTCTGAGGCCCTGAGCGGTCGGCCGATCAAGCCGATGTTCATGGACGCTGCCTATCGGGTTGTCCTCGCAGCATGCATCAAGGAAGTGCAGGACGTGTTTGCCGCGGCTGGGATTCGGCCTGTGGGGACCTCACGGCAGGAGAATTTCCAGTTGCGGTTTCTGCCATATTTGTTGCTCTCTCCGTCGTGGCTGTTTTCTATGGTCGTGGGGCGCAAATTGAAAGGGCGTGAGCATGCTTTCACAAGTATCCAGCTGCCTGCGGCAAGTCCTGACACCATGCCAGCGCAGCAGTCTGTGTTGCGACATACTCAGTGACAGTTCAGAGTATTGCAACATTGATCGTCCTCGCCCCTAGGCTCTGGAGGGGCATGTCATTCCACATGCCCTTCCGCATGCAGACTCAAGAAGGCCGTAGTGTGTGTCAGTTTTCTTGTGCCGGGCCCAGAGGGGCCTACAGAGAGAGAGAGAGAAAGAGAGAGAGAGAGAGAGAAAGAGTGAACCAGAGCAAGATCAAGAGCAAGAGCAAGAGAGAGCGAGAGCGAGAGCGCGAGAGAGAGAGAGGCAGAGACAGAGGCAGAGACAGAGATAGAGAGAGAGGGGAGGTGATAGGATGAGGGATATAGTATATGATGTGTAGGGCTGTCTTGGGGTTTCTTGGTGGCCTCGTTCGTGCCTCCAGGCCTCTGTTGCTCTCCTCGAGGTCTTTCGGGTCGTTGCGGGAGTCTTGCAGGCAATCGTTGGCCACCTACTGGCTTGTCGGCGCCAGTGTGTGGCCCTCTCGGGTTGTCTGAGCGGCCTCCTTGTTTGTCTGGGGGTCCCTCTTGGGATTCTCCCTGGCCGTTCTCGACAGTTCTTGGGCCGATGATTAGTTGTGTGTGACTGTGTGTGTTTGTGCGTGTGTTTGTGTGTGTTTGTGTGTGTGTGTGTTTGTGTCTGTGTTGTGTGTTTGTGTGATTATGTGTGTTTGTGTGTTTGTGTGGTTGTTTGGTTGTGCACGTATGTGTGTGTTGTGTGTGCTTGCGTATGTTTGTGTGGTTGTGCGGTTGTGTGTTTCCGTGTTTGCTTGGTTGTGTGTTTGATTGTTTGTGTGTGTTTGTGTGTGTGGTGCGGGCGTGTGTTGTTGTTGTGTGTGTGGTTGTGTGTTTGTGTGTTTGCGTGTGATTGTGCACGTGTGTGTATATAATGTGTGTGTGTGTGTGTGTTTGTGTGGTTATGTAATTGTGTGTTTGTGTGGTTGTGTGTTTGTGTGTATGGTTGTGTGTGTGTGTGTTTGAAGTTGTGTGCTTGTGGTGCTGTGTTTGTGTGTATGTGTGTGGTTGTGTGGCTGTGTGTGTGTTTGAGCGTGTTCGGTTGTGTTTGTGCGTGTGATTGCGTGTTGGAGTGTTCGGATGCTTGTTGGTTTGTGTGTTTGTGTGCTTGTGTGGTTGTGTGCTTGTATGTGTGTTTGTGCTAGTGTGGTTGTGTGTGTTTGTGTATTGTTGTCGCTTCGCGAATCCCCACCAGCCCATCCAGAAACGATGCCCAGAGGAATTGCCTCGATCAGAGAAGTGGGCAGCACACAGAGGAAGCCATTATGAGACATCTTGGGATATCTTGAGCCATCTTGGAGGTCATTTTGGGCTCTCCCAGACGCTCTTGGAGTCATCTTAATCCGTGCCCCCCCCCAAGAGGCCTCCATGTGGCTAAAACCTGTGTAGAATCAATGATTAGGCATTCTCGCCGAGGCCTCTTGGAGCATCTTGGGTGCATCTGGGGGGGCTCTTGGGGCCTCTTGGGGGTCTCTTGGGGGCCTCCGGGGGGCCTCTTGGGGGCCTCTTGGGGCCATTTTGGGGCCATCTTGGGACCTCTTGGGGCTTCCTGGGCGCTTCTTGGGGCCATCTTGGAGGAGATCGATCAAACAAGAGGGGGGGTTTAATTAGCGTCCCCCCTCGGAAGCCCCTAAAATCGCCTCTTGGACCCCTCTTGGAACGCTCTTGGAGTGCTCTTGGGCGCTCTTGGGGCCGTCTTGGGGCTCTTTTGGGGCTCTCTTGGGGCCCTCTTGGGCCATCTTGGAACCATCTCCAGGCCTCGGATGGCCATCGGAAGCGAAAAGGCGAGAAAGCAAAAATCATTGATTTTCCTTAGGTTTTGGGACGATTTTGGCCTCTTCGGGGCCTCCTTGGGGAGCTGTTTGGCCACTTGGAGTTATCTTGGGGCCGTCTTTGGGCTTCTTGGAACCATCTTAGGAGCCATCTCGAGCGATCTTGCGCTATCTTGAGCCATCTTGGAGCTCATCTTGGGTTCTCTGAGGCGCTCTTGGAGCCGTCTTGGGCCATCTGGGACGCTCTAACTACCAGCGGCCCCCCCCGTCCAGGTCCAGGGGAGGGGGTAGGGGGAGGGGTAAACCCCTCCCCAAGGGGGAAGAGGGAGGGGTGGAAGAGGATCTGCTCTAGACCACCTACGCCCAGAGGGCTGGTGGGATTTATGTGGTCGTGTGTTTGTGTACTTGTGCGTATGTGTGTGCTTGTGTTATTGTGTGGTTGTGTGTGTGTGTTTGTGGTTGTGTGGTGTGTGGTTGTGTGTTTGTGTCTGTGTGCATCATTGTGTGTATGTGTCTGGTTGTGCTTGTGTGTCGGTGTGTTCGTGTGTTTGTGCGTGGTTGTGTGATGATGTGGTTGTGTGTGTGTGTTTGGGGTTGTGGTTGTGTGTGCGGGTTTGTGTGTTTGTGTTTGTGGTTGTGTGTGTTTGTGTTGCTGTGATTATGTGTGTGTTTGTGTGGTTGTGTGTGTGTTTGTGCGTGTTTGTGCGTGTTCGGTCGTGTGTGTGTGTGCGTGTGGTTGTGTGTTGGAGTGTTCGTATGCTTTGTTGTTTGCGTGTTTGTGTGCTTGTGTGGTTGTGTGTTTGTGTGTGTTGTTGTGCTAGTGTGGTTGTGTGTGATTGTGTGTTCCTGTGGTCGTGTGTTTGTGTACTTGTGTGTATGTGTGTGCTCGTGTGCTTGTGTGGTTGTGTGTGTGTGCGGTTGTGTGGTTGTGTGTCTGTGTGTTTGTGTGTGTGCATCATGGTGTGTATGTGTCTGTCTGTGTTGGTGTATCGGGGTGTTTGTGTGTTCGTGCGTGGTTGTGTGATTAGGTGGTTGTGTGTGTTTGGGTTTGTGGTTGTGTGTGTGTGTTTGTGTGCTTGTGTGCTTATGTGTGTGTGTGTGTGTTCCCGGGTGTGTTTGTGTGTCTGTGTGTGTGCGTGCGTGTGTTTGTGTGTGTTTGTGTGTGATTGTGTGTGTTTGTGTGGGTGTCGGTGTGGGCGTGGGGGTGGGGGTTGGGGGTGCGGGTGGGGGTGGGCGTGGGGGTGGGCGTGGGGGTGTGGGTGTGGGGGTGTGGGTGTGGGTGTGTGGGTGTGGGTGGGTGTGTGGTTGTGGGTGTGTGTGGGTGTGTGAGTGTATGGGTGTGTGGGTGGGTGTGTGGGTGGGTGGGTGTGTGGGAGCATGGGTGTGTGTGGGTATGTGGGTGTGTGGGTGTGTGGGTGTCTGTCTGTTTGGGTGTGTGGGTGTGTGTGTGTGGGTGTGGGTGTGTGTGCGTGTCTGTGTCTGTGTCTGTGTGCGTGCGTGTGCATGCGTGTGCGTGCGTGTGCGTGTGTGTGTGTGTGTGTGTGCGTGTGTGTGGGTGTGCGTGTGTGTGTGTGTGCGTGTGTTCGTGAGTGTGTTCGTGCGTGTGTTCGTGAGTGTGTGCGTGTGTGCGTGTGTGTGTGTGTTTGTGCGTGTGTTTGTGCGGGTGTGTGTTTGCGCGTGTGGATATCATGGCCAGTGCCATGATATGCCCGCCAGATTGCATAGCCCCCCCTGTTCGTTCACATCCCGTGGTCCCCCCCTCGTCCGAGCATATGCGTCCAGCCATGATCTGCGAACCTCCCTCTAGGGTTGACCCCTTCCTGGGACCTGCCAGACGTTACAGAAGTGCCCGTGCTTAGTGCAGCCGTTGTTTCGGGAACGAGTGGATAGACAACGTCTGGCAGTGCTCAGAGCCGCTCTGTGCCGAATGGCACGGCGGCGGATGGCGCAAGATTTGATGGCGAGGAGGGTACCGACAGAAATCGATTTCCTGAACGGCGAAATTTCTAAGATGGCCGTCGAGTACAACATCGAGGCGCCCATAAATCGCGCTCTGATCGAAGCCGTGAAACTGGCAGAGATGCAGAATGATGGGTGTCCGCAGTACTCGGGTGAGTCGCTGATGGCGCTTACAGGTGCGCAAGATTCTGGTGTGCTCGCCCGGGCGGTGCTGAATAGCATTGGTTTGGTAAGCCTTGCAATGACCGCACAGTGTCTCATCCGGGCGCGTCTCTAACTTGTGATGGCCGAGGTGCTGCGCATGCCAGAGAAGGCGCTGGCGCTATACTCTTCATCGGGGGGCGATGTGAGAGCTCGATTCGCCCCCGGATGGGAAGTATAGCGCCAGCGCAGTTTGCAAGGCAAGGCCGGTGACGCCGCACATCAGGAAGACGCGGCATACAGCAAGGACGCAGAGTAAAAACACAACCGCCAGTGTCTTGGTGCTGGTTGTCGACGTCGCCATCCCTCTCCTCCTCGCTCGCCCCTCCGCCCCATGGATACGGCATACCAGCAGACTTCATCAATCTGCGCAGCAAATTTGATGATTGCTTCTTGCCTCCTTCCCTGGATCTGAGGAAACAGAGACGAAGAGACGAGGACGGCGAAGACGGCGCCGATGGCGTAGAAGGAGGAGGGGACGGATGAGGTGTGGGAGGGGGATCGGAGATGGAGGGGGAGGGGGAGGGAATTAGGAGGGGAGGGGGAGGGAATCAGGAGCAGGAGAAGGAGGGGAGGGGGAGGGAATCAGGAGGGGGAGGGTTAGCAGGAGAAGGAGGATCGGAGATGGAGGGGGAGGGAATCAGGAGGGCGGGGGACAAGGACCAGCAGGAGTGGCCGTGAGGAGGAGGAGGAGAAGGAGGAGGAGGAGGAGAAGGAGGGAGGGAGGAGGAGGAGGATGAGGAGGAAGAGGAGGTTTGGAAGTAAAGGAGGATGGGCAGGACAATTCCTCCCCCCCCGACGCCTCTGCTCCACCCTTCTTCTCCCCCGCCCTCCTTCCCCGTCCCCTCCCCGTTCCTCCCGTCCCCCTCCCTCCTCCCTCTTCCATGCCCCCCCCCTGCCGCCCCGAAGGGGAGGGAGTGACGAGGACCCCTCGGCGGAAAGACCTGTGCGAAGCTCGTGCCGAGCCCATGCAGCAACCATTCGCCCCCCTCCCCCCGCTCCCCCTTGCCTTCCCTTCCAGTTCCTCGCTCCTGGGAATTTGTCTCGACTTTCCAGTACAACGTAGGGAAACCGCATAACACGTCAGACAGTGGCAACAAGGGAAAAGGAACAATTTTATCCCGAGCGATCCGAACCACGGACCTGACGTCTACATCAATCAGTATGGTGTTAGTGTGTGTGTGTGTTGGTCATGGATACTGCTCATGGCTGTTATTGATGCGCGGTCTTCGTGTCTGCTCTCGGTGTCTCCTCGTGGGTGGGCATCTTATTAGTGTGTTTGCGTGCGCGTCACTGGTGTGCGTTTTGTGTTGGTGCATGCTGGGCGTGCGTGTGTGTGTGTGTGTGGGTGTGTGGTATTATGTCGTGCGTGTGTGTGTGTGCGTGCCTATGAGAGTGCAGGTTATGTCGAAGCGGGGTACTGTTCTGGGCTCCGGCTTGGACCTCTAGCCGCATCGGGAGGCTCGAGGTAAGTGGCCCGGGGGCCCACGTGAGGGCTGAGGCGCGCCCCGCGGGCGCGCGATGGGGGCCGCCCCTGCCTCCCCCCCTCCTCGCTCTCCGACATCCTCGCCCTCCTCCTCCATCCTCTCCGCCTTCCGCGCCCAGGCGCAAAGCAAGATCGAAGAGGCGAAGGCGGGCGCATCCGATGCCAAGGCTCGACCCCCGGGTGTTCACGGTTGGGGAGCAGAGGGGGAGAAAGAGAGAGAGAGAGAGAGAGCGAGAAGACGGGCACACACAGATGTACATATACATAAACAGACAGAGAGAGAGAGAGGTAATGCAGAGAGACGTGGGGAGAGGGAGAACGAGAGAGAGAGGGACAGATATCTACATGTTTGTAGACGTATGCATATACTATTATATATAGGTATGTATGTAGGTATGCATATCTGTATGTATGTACATATGTATGCATGTATGCACGGATGGGTGGAATGATGGATGGATGGAATGACGGATGGATGGACGTGTGCGTATGTATGTATGTACGTATGCAGGCATGTCTGTATGGGTGTATGTCTGTATGCATGTATGCAGTTCTGCATGTATGCATATATGCATGTATGTCGAATGGCATTCGGCCCATCCCGCCCCGTTCCTGGGTTGCGGGTCGGAAGTCTATGAGATGTTCGTCGGGATCTCGTGGGGGGGCTCCTGCGGGCTTACTAGAGCCATGTATGAGGCCTCTTGGGGGCCGTTTTGGGGCCTCTTGGAGAAACTTCTGGGTCTCTTGAGGGCATCTTTGGGTCTCTTGGAAGCCTCTTGGGGCCTCCTGGGCGCCAATTGGGCCCTCCTGGGGGCCTCCTGGGGCGGAAGGCTCAGATTTTCGGTTCGTGCTCCCTCCCTTGGGCCCCTTTTGGGGCTGTCTTGGGACCCTCTTGGGCCTTTGGCGCCTCTTGGGTCGTCTTGGCCGTCTCGGGGCCCTCTTGGAGGCCCCTTGGTCCGTTTGGAGATGGTCTTGGGGGCCTCTTGGGCCGTCTTGAAGCGTCGCAAAGCCGAAAAGGTGAAAGCACCCAACTATGACAAACCGCATGACAATCTAAGGGTTTTGGTCTCTCGAGGCTCGCTTGGGAGGCCTCTTTGGAGGCCCCCCAAGAGCGCCCCAAGAGACCGACACCATTGATGTTCCTTTGGCGGCTCGGGATCCTCTTGGACCGTTTTTGGGGGCCTCCCGGGGCCCTCTTGACCCGTCTCGGGGCCTTCTCGGGCCCGAAGAAGTCACGCGGGGAGACGCGCTGGAGCCCGGGGGGCACGCGGGAAGCCCCTGGAGATTTGAGAATTTGGGGCCGGGGCCTCCTTGCATTCCTCACAGCCGAGGACTGGGGCTCCATGGGGGCTATGCAGAGGAGCTGAGGACACGCCCACTCCGTGCCCAGAGATGCAGCCCTACTACAGTAGGCAATCAGGACCCCGCCCCCTTCACGGTGAAACTGTATCGCCTGCAGCATCCGGAAGCTTTCTCCTGAGGGGAAGAGGATGCGGAGGAGAAGGAGGAGAAATCTATAGAGGAAGATGAGGAGGAGGCAGAGGAGGAGGAGGAGGAGGAGGAGGAGGAGGAGGAGGAGGAGGAGGGAGAGGAGGAGAAAGAGGAGGAGGAGGAGGAGGACAGGGAGCAGGAGGACAGAGAGGAGGAGAACAAGAGAGGAGGAGGAGGAGGAGGAGGACCAGCGCAAACCCAAGACTCATCAACGATGATGGGAATCCACCTTCCATCCAGGCTCCTCTTGTGCGCCGTTGGTGAACAAACGTGTGACAATCTTGGCGCGGACCAAAACACCGTTCTGAGGATTCCAACGCCACGGATCAACCTGACTGCTGCGGCTTGACGGTCTAGAATCGTGCCAGAACGCTTATCTTGGGACTTGCACACCGCGGGTCAACGTAATTGTTGCGCCCTGATAGTCCTGACTCGCTCCAAAACACCATTCCTGGAATGTTAACCATGAGAACCTGTGAAATTCTTGCAACTTCTGAAAAAAAGTCGAGTGTGCGCGGCGCTAAGGCGAGAGCCACACCGCCCGCAACCAGTGAAACTCTTGCAAGTGTTGAAAAGAATGCGCTTGGCGCCAACGCGAGAACCACTTTGAACATCTAACCGCCGTCATCCCGAGAAACTCTTACAATTTCTGAAAACGCATGCGCGGGGGGGCTGAGGCGAGAGCCACATTTTGGAAGCGTCCCGCCGTTCATCTGTGAAACTGTTGTCATTTGTTTTGCATTTCAGGCCCACATGTGGTGAGGACGCCGCGAGCATCAGCCCAGACTGCACGGCCCACAGCGCACAGCACACCCTGCAGAGAAGGCGCACAGTTCAGCGCACCTCTGGGGACTTTTGGGGTGCTCAGGGTTTCTGCGGATTTCTTGGTCTCTTGAAACCTGGAAAAGTGCGTGATTTCACAAGGTTCTTGGCGTTAATGTGGTTTCTTAGGAGATTGGGATTCTTTGTACTTTTCGGGATGTCTTGGGGATTCTTGGCATTTCCTTGGGACCGCTGAGTTTTTTGATTTCCCTGGGCGTCTTGGGATTATATGGATTTCTCGGGATGTCCTGGGTCTCAAGGGGACTCGTGGGTTTTAATACGTTTTTAGGGGATCCGGGGATTCTTAGGATGTGTCTGGATGTCTCGGGATTCTTCTAATTTTTCGGGGTCCTGGGGATTCTTGAGATGTTTCGGGATGTCTTGGGGATCTTGGGATTTCTTTGGGTGTTTTGGGCCTCTTCGACATTGTTGGCTTTTGGTGCATGTTTGTTGGGTTCCCCGGATCCTGTCCATAGCCGTGGTGGCCTTGGCTCCGCGCCAGGCTCCTGTAGTCAGAGCAGCGCCGTACATGGCCCACTCGACGTCCCAGCGCTTCAGGCTCGGGACGGAACGCACAGCCCGCACCCTCAGACGCCTAGCTCAGGACCCGCGTGCGTCGAGTCTGCGCGAGGCCAGCCAGGCATTCAGGGGGACCTGGCACCTGTCAGCATCCTGTGGCCCACCTCGCAATTCATTGCGCCATGGCACCTGGAAGCTTTCCGTGCTGAGACGGAGCTCCAGGGACTGAGGTGAAATGGGCCCAGAGGAGCAGTTGTCGCAACGAGGGCGTCCAGGCGGCGAAGAGGCGCCGGGACTATCAGAAGCTGTTGTCGCCAGGAGCAGCGCACCCGAGAACGCCAGACCCAGAAGACCGCAGCCTGAAGAAGCGCGCGTGGGACAGCGCGGCGCAGGAGTGGCGGCGTCAGATCACGCGCGCGCTGAGCAACGAGGCCAGCTGGCTGTGATCAGGGGGAAAAACAGTAAGACACTTGAACATAAGTTTGTTTGCGCCCTCCTCGTAAAGGCCGCGCACTCGCTCGTAAGGTGATGTAGCTTCCGCAGTCTCGGGGGTGAATCATTTTCAAATAATGGGCATCGCGGACGGCGCGAGGGAGGTTGAAGTGCGCCCTCTACTTGGCGCGGTACAGTGCGAGTGGAAAACACTGCGTTCTCCGGAGAGCTCTCTGTGAAACAAACGCTGGCACTGAACAAATCACGACGTAGGAGGCCGAGGTAGGAGGAAATGCAAACACGCGCTGGGGCAGAAAGCGGTCGATCGCATTTCTGCCCCTCGGCCATAGGAGAATTGAATTTACTTCGGGAAGAGGTCAAGTCGGTCCTCCTCCTCCTGCTCCTCCTCCTCCTGTTGCTCCTCCTCCCAACGAAGCCGATCGGCCCTGTGAACCCCGCGAGGCCGGTGGGCCCCATGAGCCCTACGAGGCCGACGAGCCTTGCGAGCAGTTCAGACTGCTCTCTGTATGAGCCTTATGCTGCTTGAAGCCCGTGTGAGAGGCCGACGGGCCCTTTCTATCCCTCGAGGTCGATCGCGCGCAGGAGCTCAGTGACCCCTGGGAGCCCGATGGGCTGCATGGGCCTTGTGACCCCGACCCCATGACCCTTATGACGGTGAACCCTTTGAGCCCTGCAGTCCCTATTGCGCGTCCAGCCCTGACGGGCACAATGCGGCCGATGGGCCTTGTCGGCCTTATGGAGCCGATGGTCCTTATGAGCCCAGTAGGCCAACAGGCCCTATGAGGCCGATGAGCCTGATGTGCCCGATGGGCCCTCTGAGCCCCATAGTGCCTGGTCCCATCGCGAGGCCCATGAGGCATGGGCAACACACCCTGGGAGGCCGATGGGCCATCAGAGTCCTACGAGGCCTCTTGGTCGAGTGAACACTAGAAGGCCGCCTATGAGGCTTTGCTCCTCACGACGCTCACGCCCCTTCGCACGTACCCATATGGGACCAATGGACCCAATGGCACCATAATCGTTACTGGCCCTGTCGCCGCAGGAACCCTATGAACCGTGCTCGTTCCTACGTGCCCCGTGGGCTCCATGAGCTCCATGCGCGCATGAGCAGCGGGGCCCCTCTACATTATTAGGCGGCGCGGACGCGCGATCCGTTGATCAAGGGGGCAGAATGGGGAGAGACCAGAAGAAGGCGTAGGAGGAGGGGGGATAATGGCGACGAAGTGTTGGTGGGAAGAGAGAATGAAAGAAAACGATATAATTTGCAAGGGCGTGTAAGACGGGGAACGCCACGGGCGAGCGATGGAAGCATGCACCAATAACGCATTGCGATCGGTGCTCGCCGCGCCAAGGTGGGAACGCACATTTCATTCAACAAAAATGCACGGCGGGAGGAGATCTCGACACTTCGCCGCGAAGTGCGCCGCGTCCGACTCCCGCCACGCATAGCGCAACGTCGTCGATAGAACGTCCACACAAGGAGAAATAGTATAATTTGCATGAGGAGGCGATGGGGGGGGGGCGAGGAGGTGGAGGGGAAGGGGAAAGGAGCAGGCAGGAGGGAGGATAAGGATATACAACGAGTCTGCAGAAAGAGAAGGAGGAGGAATCTCACGCAGCTTAGGCCGCTAGAAACATGAATCCTCGTAGGGCCAATGCTGGCAACTGGGGCTCGTTCGCAGGGTTCATCGGCGTCGCAAGGCTGAAAGAGCTCATCGGCATCGCAAGGCTCGCTGGGGCCACACCCAGGTGAGCGAGCATGCGGCGCCGGCCCCCCTGAGGGTGCCGCCGCATGGGCCTCATTGAGCTGAAGGGGCCCGTCGGCCCCGTAATTAGGGCTGATTGGCCCATCCGCCTCGTAGGTTTGATAGGGCCCGTCGGCCTCATGGGTCTCATAGGGCCCATCGGCCTCGTAGGCCCATCTCGGCGCTCTCCTCGACAGCCTCTGGAGAACGTGCAAGATGGCATCGCGCACTCTTGGACCTTACGCTTTGCTCACAGCTCTCGGATTTCTGCGGCCCGAACGTAAACTTTTGTTCCGAACATAAGCTTCTCCCCAAACATATTTTTTTCCGGGGGAGGGGGGGGGCTCGTCGAGGGGGGGGGACCCCCAAACAAAGTTTATGGCATAGCGTTTTCGCCTGGGACTTCCCCGAACATAAACTTTTTCCCTCCGGGCGTTTGGAGCCCCCCCACCTCCAAAACAAAAAGTTTATGTTCGGGGGGGGCTTCGCTTCCTCGGCCAGACCCGCCAGCCTCTGCGCGAGGCCACCCAGCTCGTGGCGGATTTCCATCGAAATCCAAGCCCGCGGCATACCTAGCGCCGATGGCCAAGGGCATAAGGATCCGGGGGGACGGCGGGAGCTCCGATGAGGCACGCGGCCATGCCCTCAGGGCCTTGGGCGCAGGGTTCAACGGCGTTGGCAGTTGCGGTTGCCGTTCGGCGTAGAGTGCACGTCCAAGAGCGCGACTTGCTCTTCCACAGCCTCTCGAAGTGATTTTTTCTCTCGAACACCTGCTGGAGAGCCTCTGCAGGAGCCTCCGGAGAGCGCTTGGGGAATTTCTAGAGGAGACCCTGGACGAGCCTGCGCAGGAGCCTCTGGGGGAACCTCTCGACAAGCCTCTGGACGAACGTCTGGAGGAGCCTCTGAGGACGCCCCTTGAGGACCCCCTGGAGGAGCCTCTGGTGTCCCCTGGAGGAGCCTCTGGCGGAGCCTCTGTGAAGCTTTTTGAGAGCTTCTGGAGAGCCTCTTGGAGAGCCCCTGAGAGGAACCAATGGGCGGCCTCTGGAGGAGCTTGGAGCCGAGCCTCTGGACGAGACAGTGTGGGAGCCTCTGGAGGAGCCTGCGGAGGCCACTGTGGGCAATGTTTGCGATGGGTAGCCGGCCGCAGGCTTGCGCTGTTGCTGGACTTTCTGGCGGGGCCTCAGGACGAGCCCCTGGAGGAACCCTTGAAAAGGCATCTGGAGAAGCCTCTGGAGAAGCCCCCGAGGAACTGGAGAAGCCCTTGGACGAGCCTCTGGTGGAGCCTTCGGGGGAGCCTATGAAAATCCGGTGAAGGAGCCTTTCAAGGAGCCTTTCAAGGCGCCGCTGGGTGAGCACCATGGTGAGCCTTAGAGAAAGACCCTGAGGGAGTTCCTGGAGGAGCCGCTGGTGGAACCTTTGGATGAGCCTCTGGAGGAGCCTCTGGAAAGCTTCTGAAGAGCTTCAGGGGAGCCCCATGGAAGACTTCAAAACATAACAATAAACATTTGAGGGGAGCCACGGGGGCAGCTTCTGGGGGAGCCTGCGAACAAGACTCTGGACGAACCGCTGTGGGAGCCTTTGGAGGGCCCTACGGAGGACACGATGGCCATTGCTTGCGATGGGGGGACGGCCGCAAGCGCGCGCCTTTCGAAGAGCACCTGGAGGAGCCTCTGGGGGGGGGGCCTCTTTAGAGCAGACTCTGGAGAGCCTCTGGAGGAGCCTCCAGGGTGCTCTTGGAGAATTTATGGCAGAACCCTTGGACGAGTTTCTGGAGGGGCCTCCTGCGGAATTTCTGGGAGAGCCTCTGGAGGAACCTCTGCAGGAGCCTCTGGATGAGCACCCATGGGCAGCTTCTGGAAGAGCATCTCCTGAAGCATTTGACAGAACCCCTTGAGGAGCCTCTGGTGGAGCCTCTGGAGGAGTCTCGAGGAGTCTCCGGACGATTTTCAAGAGAGCTTCTGGAACGCTTCAAGAGAACGCATTGCTTTCCTGCTCTTCCCAAGCGTGCCGTCAATGTATTGCGGTAGGGCGTGTCCCTTCGGGGGGTGCCCATAGGTCAACTCAACCGCCCTGTGCTCTGCCTCATCCCGCATGCCCCCTCCCTTCCCCCATCCTTTTGCCCCCTCCCCCTTATCCAAACACCCCCTTTTCCCGTTCCTCCCTCCTTCCCTCCGTCTTATCCCTCCTCCCGTGCCCCTGATGCCCCTTCCCTCCTCCGCGGCGGCGGCGGTATTTATCCAGGGGGCGAGGGCGGCTGCATTGAAGATGAAAAGCACGCGCGATTCTTATTAGCATTGGCACCACATGCAATGACAGCGGGACACCGTCACCGCCGAGCCGCGAAGGACTACAACGCCGAAGGGAATCGCGCACCGAGCCCACTGTACATGGCGTAGGGCATAAGAGAATTCCTGGGAAGCCGCAACACGCGACCGGGCGCCGTGCGCGAACAACTTCTGCGCGCCCTCACTAGATGCCAAGGAGCGCGTCCAGCGGGCGCAGCGTGGAGGCAACTCACTGCCCCAAGTCGCCCTGATAACATCGGTACAATTTAGGCTGCGCGCAACACAACGGCAAATGCAACACAAGCAGTGGACGACCCCAGATTATCGCCCCGCCCAAGGGTGCGGTGCGATGGCGGAAAGACTTAAAGTTTATGTTTACCGTGTTTTGTGTTTCCTTATCTGAGCTCAGCTCAGTTCACGTTGCTACTTTCAGTGGGTAGCCCTTTGCGTTCAGCGATCTTTCCAGAGCGCTCACATGCTGTTTCCAGCACGCTTTGATTGTTTTCAGTGCTTTCAGATTGTTTCCACCGCGCCATAGGAACAACTCATGCTTCTCGTTATAATTGTCATTCCTTGCTAGTTATAGACGCCAGTCGAGGGAGGGGGGGGTCATCATTTCTGTTTGCGGCTTGGCGCGGCGCTAGCGATGCCGCTCTGCTATACCCGCCCCCGCGAGTCATTTGTATATCCGCTTCGGCGCTAACGCTTACCCGGGGCTTTCCACCGGGGTTCACCAGGTTGCGTACGCGCATCTGTGTATATATACATATATATATACACATATACACACGTAGAGATGGGGAGAGGGAGAAAGCGCACGAGAGAGACCTCGCTACAGTGCAAATTGCTGCGCGTGTCTACACATACAGAGAGAGGATGTACGAGCGAAAGAGAGAGAGAGAGAGAAACACAAATAAGGAACAATACACATAAAACAACAAAGGGGGAGCCAACCAACTAGACATCAATACGCATATCTAGAGAGGAATATATATACATACATAGAAGAGAACCAACAGAGCGAACTAGAGGAAGAGAGCGAGAGAGAGAGAGAGAGATAGAGAGAGAGTGACCACACACACCGAACAACAACGAGGCAGAAAGAGAGAGAGAGAGGGAGGGAGAGAGTGAGAGAGAGAGAACGAGAGAGAACGAGAGAGAGAGAGAGAAAAAGACAGCGAGAGAAAGAGAGAGCGAGAGAGCGCGCGCGCGCGACACAGAGAGAGAGAGAGAGAGAGCGCAAATGAGGGAGAGAGAGAGAGAGAGAGCGAGACAGAACGACACAGGGAGGGAGTGGGAGACAGCGAGATGAGTGCCAAGATCGCCCTCTCTGGGCGCCCGCGCTCATATCCACCCCTGGCCAGCGGCGCTCACGCCCAATCCTCCGCCGCAGCGGTGGGCTGATGGCGGCGATCGGCTGCGGGGCTGTCGTCTGGCGTGGATTGTGCCTTGGCGCATCCGCCTCCGCTCTCTCTTGAAGCTCGCTGAGGGGCAGCGAACGCGATTTGTGTTTCTGGGGCGACGAGGGAGAGGGCAATGCTTTTGTAGGGGAAGAGCAAGCAGGAGCAGCCCAATCGTGGGCAAGAGCAAACCTAAAATCAGAGCTTCTCGCGAAGGGCGGCGGTAAGGATTACTGTTGACCGATCAAGCGCGCCCGTCGAGCGTACGGGGATCTGGCCCCCGGCGACCTTCAAGTTCTCTCCCTCCTCTGCTCACCCCCCGAGCGCGCCATGGGCGGATAAAGTGGGTTGTGATTATTGGATTGTTTGCCTGATTGGGTAGTCGCTGGGATCACCACTGCTTTCTCCAGTCGGGCTGTCAACGCGGGGCGCCTTTGGACGGTCCCGTGCGGAATGCAGCGCCCCAGGCCCGCCCCCCCCCCCCTCATCCTCTTCCCCCCTGCCTCGTACCCCCTTCCTCCCTCTCATCCCCCACCCGCTGCTTCCCAGTCATCCAGCGGGGGGGGTCCAGGGGTAACGGGCTGCTTGCCGTGCCCTCCGGGGACGCGCAGTTGTTCTGATTGTTGAAAGGCTGACGCCCTTGATTTTTGGAACCTCGAGCATCATCCACATCCTTGTTCCACTTTTTGTTATCAGATTCCTCCGCGCCTTTTCTTCTTGCCCGAGACAAAGATATGGAGTAGTAGGGAGAACATTGGTTCGGATGAGGAGGGCGATGGGGAGGAGGAGCAGGCGGAGGTCCTCTTCCTCCTTCTCCTCATCTTCCTCCTCCTCCTCCTCCTCCTCCGCCTCCTCCTCCTCCTCCTCCTCCTCCTCCTCCTCCTCCTCCCTACTCTTCCGCCACATCTCCTTTTTCCCCCATCACCCGTGTCTGGCACAGGAGAAGCTCGAGGGCGCAGTCGCGGACCACGCCGGTGCAGACAACATCAACGAGGTCGAGGGCAAGGTGGAGGACTCGGCAGCGTGCTTCCTTGCTCGTGTTCCTTTGCCCGCACGCCCTGTCGCCTCCTCCGCATTGTCCTGAGCTAGGAACGCTCCTGCTCCTCTTCCTCCTCTTTCTCCTCCTCTTGTTCAGTCTTTTCCTACTGCCCTCCTCCGGCATGCTTCTCAGAAGTGCATGCTTTTCGGCGTCAGTCGTTGTGTAGGCGAGCGTTCGAGCGTGGCACGCACAGCCCGATGCGCAGCGCAATTCCGAGGATCATTGGATCATATATTGTAAGAGGCCCCTGTTTTTGTTTACGATGTGAGTTCGTATCTGACCTTCCCGCCCTCCCCTCCCCAACTTCGCGGACGCAGCCGCCTGCCGCACAGCTGCGGCGGCCCCCTCCTGTTCCCTCGAGCGCATTCGATTTGGGCTGCGGCTTGAGGATTGCAGCAGGGCCGAGCAGGCCATGAGGCCCCACGAAGGGCATCCTGAGGCCTCGTGTTTGGACGTCGTCTTGGGGCCGCATACGACTGCTAGTTCATCCTTCCTCCTCCGCCATAGTCCCCATCCCCCCCACACACACATCCACCTCCACCTCCACCTCCTATGCCTCCTCCTCCTGTTCCTGCTCCTGCTCCTCCTCATCCTCCTTCTCTTCCTCTTCCTCATAATAATCAGAAGGATAATCATAATTGCAATACGGGTAGTAAACACAATACTGATAATGCGAACCTTATGTTTTTCATTATGTTCCTCCTCCTCCTTCTCCTCCTCCTCCTCCTCCTTCTCCTCCTCCCCCTCCTCCTCCTCCTCCTCCTCCTCCTCCTCCTCCTCCTCCTCCTCCACCTCCTCCTCCTCCCCCCCCCCGCCTGGCCTTCCTGCCGAAAGGACGCCAAAGAGGAAGCCGAGGAGGCCAAGGACAAGGCCCTGCGGCGGCGGCGGGGGCCGCTGCGGACGCCCCCCGCCCCCCCGCGTGACGGTGGGTAATTTTCCACTGAAATCTCAGATTGGGGAGCTTGGTTTTTCGGTTGGGCCCTCCAGCTGGATTCTTCCAAATGGGGAGGGCCGGATGGGACATCACCTTGGATAGGCGGCCCCGAAGGCTCCTGGGAGCGGCCCAGATGGAAACTCATCCGTTTCAGGTTCGAATTTCAGTGGAAGCCCATGCCAAGAAACATCCTGCCTGCCTCCAGAGAGCCCTGGGTTTCTTGGGTGTAGATGTTTCTGCCACTGAGAGCGTGAGGCTCCCACACTAAAGAAATCGATGGACGTCCTGGGGTCTCAGGGTTCGGTGTCTGGTGGAAGGTTTCTTGTGGTCGGGTTCTCGCTGCATCGCCCCAGAACAGAGTCCCAGGGTGATTCTGGAATCTTCACCGGGTGTATGCCCGGTCTGCCCCTCCCCCCCTTCCCGGCAGGGCCTGGCTTCTCTGTCTGCCGGGAACGGCCGCAGCCCGCGCGCGCCCGAGGCAGGGGGAGGGCGAGGCCTCCAGGGCTCCGTGGGCCCCGGAAACGGCAGGGCCGTTTTTTTTTCACCGTGTCCGAAAAGGTGCCCCTTGAACCCTCCTCCTCCTCCTCCCCCTCCTCCCCCTCCTCCTCCTCCTCCTCCTCCTCCTCCTCCTCCTCCTCCTCCTCCTCCTCCACCCGTTTCCGAGAACGGCAGAAAAAGCGGCGACTGGAAACGGCAACAAAAACGGCTCCAGGACTGGAACCGGAGCGGGAGCCCGTAGAAGAGCGGCGACGGAACCGGTAAGAAAACGGCGTCGGAACCTGCACAACAAACACAGCAAAACGGAACCAGTAAAAAAACGGCCCTGTCGTTTCCAGGGCCCACTAAGCTCCAGGGGGAAGCGTCTTGGCCTCAATCTTGCCAGTCGAGCTGCACCGCGGACAGAAAGAGCGGACAGATGCGCCGCACGCCGTGCACGCACGGTTTCACACCTCAGAGATGACAAAAGATGGTGGGATCGACCGTACGTAATTCCAGGCGTCTTAGGATGGAGCGCTTTGGTCATCTATTCTGGGTGGGCTATGAATCTAGGGGTGGGTGACTAAGTGACTAAACTTCCGACGGAGCTTGCCCATCCCGTCCCCCTTCTCCTTCTCCTCCTCCTCCTCCTCCTCCTCCTCCTCCTCCTCCTCCTCCTCCTCCTCCCCGTCCCCCTCCGCCTCCCCCTCCCCCTCCTCCTCCTCCTCCTCCTCCTCATCCTCATCGTCCTCCTCCTCCTCCTCCAACCCCCCCTCCACCCGTTCCGACAGCACGTGCCCAACCTCTCAGCAGATCCAAGGGGGGGGCGATGATTGCCCCATCCAGAGTAGTCTGTCTGGGAGGAGGGGGAAGAATCTCGCTTCCATAGCCATTCTGCCGAGGGCCTCTCGATGGCCACCGCCATCACGCGGTCATCCATCGGTCGTTGGAAGTACGTATTCTTGGAGTCCCAGAAACCAATTTTTTTAAAGCGCCTTCCTACTTCAATGATCGAGTGGCTTCACCTTCTTCCGTCCTCCTCAGGGGGCGGACGGAACCCAATCCATTTTCAACGCTTTCCCACTCCATGTTTCTACCTACTTCTCCCGACCGACCTGTTTTGGCACGCAGTCCCCGATCCACATTTTTGTGCTGGACCAGCTTGTTTGTGGGGCTGGTGTGCAAACATCGTTCCCCCATTTCCGCTCAAGCCACTGCCCGGAGCTACACTGTGTCGCGGGTCGTTGACGATGTGCTATTTTAGGGCTCGGTTTCGGGTTTATTTGAAGCTTTTGCATGCTCATGTAGGAGACACCAAGGATGGGACCTTTGCGGTACCCTCGCGGTAAACCAAGAAGCGACTCAAATGTTCATGGTTACGTGGGAGTTTACCGAGCCAACGCGGACTGCAATGTAACATTTCACGCGGGTGTTAGACCGTTGTGAAATTATTCGACGCGGAGATTCCTACATGCGCATCTTATTTTCTGGCACGTCCTGTTTCGCGTGTCTGGCTGTGAGTGTCTGGTTGTGAGCGTGAATCCGAGAGGACGGCGGATACGGCGACGACAGCGGTTGCGACGAGAGGCGACGACGACGATGACAACCCACAGACAGACAGGCAGACAGAGGCGGTGAGCAGGCCCCCTACCCCCTCCTTGCTCTTCCTCCGCGTCGTAGTCCCTCCCCTCTCTTTCTTTCTCCTCCGTCCTCTTCCTTCCTCCCACCGGGTCCTCCTCCTTCCTCCTCCCCCCGGGTCCTCCTTCCTCCTCCTTCCTCTTCCTTCCTCCTCCTTCGTCCTTCCTCCTCCTGCCTCATTCCTCCTCCTTCCTCTTCCTCCCTCCTTCCTCCCCCCCGGGTCCTCCTTCCTCCTGCGTCCTCCATCTTCCTCTTCCCTTGCGGCCGTCCTTCTCTGTCCTCTTACTTGATCTTCCTCCCTCCTCGTCCTCACTATTCATCCGTCCTCGCCTTTCCCGTTTCCGCCATGGCAAGCATCCTTTTCTTGCGGTGGCCGCCATCACAAACAGCTCTGGACCTGATTGTGACTGATCATCGGTATGATTGCGCCTGAGTGGAAAAAAAAACATTGTGACTGAGTGTGGGTGGAGGAAGAGCGAGATTGAGTAAATTGCGCTTCCGCCTGAGACGTCTTCGCAATTTACTCAGGCACTTCCTGGCGAATCACGCAGAACTCACGAATACATATATACCCACCAAAAGCGAGATGATCGAAGACGAAGGGGGTGGGTATCGAGGTTTCGGGAAATGCACTTTGAGTGGCACCCGAGCAAGTAAGAGCGAACAGTCTTGGCATGATTGTTGTTGTTGTTGCTGTTGTTGTTTTTGGACTCTTGCTTTAAAACGTTATGTGTTGTTGATCCCCCCTCGGGTAACATATGTTTTTGTTCAATTAAAGTGCCCCTCCTGGGGTTCGCACCCTGTTTTCTGTCAGGGAAAGTCTTCCTGCTCAAACTGCACCCGTGGCCCCCGAGTTGCAACAACAACGGCTCCCGCCTGATGCTTCCTCACATGATTCCCACATCGCGCTCTCGCGCGGGACTTCCTTGCAATGTGTGCAGGTTTCGCGCTCTCGCGTGGGACTTCCTTGCAATGTATTTAGACACTCAGGAGTCCCGCTCTCGCTTTGGCTTTTCTCTTGATTTACTTGGGAATCGCACTATCGCTCGAGACCTTCTCGCGATTCATGCAGGACGCACGCTTCAGCAACCCGCCTGCTCGACCTGGCCGCCTGGGCCCGCCTTCCCGACCCGCCTGCCAGGGTCTACCCACCCGATCTGCCAGTCTGGTTCTGCCACGTGCTTTCTGTTCCTAGCTCCCCTCCTGCTACTCTGTTTTTTATTTTCCTCTCTCTCTCTCTCGTGTTCCATCCTCCTCCCTCCCCAGGGTCCGCTTCTTCCATCCGTCTTCTCTTTCCCTGCCGTAGGGGCCGCATGCAATACACGTTGCAGGTAGGAAGATGTACCCCCAAGGGGGTACAATCGAAGACGAAGAGGGCGGGGACCGAGGGTTTGAGATATACGTGTTGAATGACTCGCGAGCAGATGCGAGTGAACAGTATTGACATGATTGTTGTTGTTGTTGTGGTTGCGGTTGTGGTTGTGGGTGTGGGTGTTGGTGTTGGTGTGGGTGTGGTTGTGATGGTTGTTGTTTTTGTTGGCGTTGTTGTTGCTGTTCAATGTTTAGTACTAAACAATTATTATTGTTGGACCCCCCCAGGCGCCTTGGCGCTCTCGCCTCGGCGCCGGCTACATTCTCATTGAAAATGAGGCTCGCGCTTGACGGGTTTGGGGGGGCGCCCAAACCGGCCCCCAAACAGCAACAACGCTCCCGCTCGAGACTTCCGGGTTTTTTTTTCCTCAGAGCCAGTACTCTTGCTCGCCGCCGAAAGCCGCCGTCCCAACAAAACCAGCGCTACCGCTCGAGACTTCCTCGTGTTTTGCAGGGGACTGGCGCGCTACTCTTTCTCTCATCGGCGCCGCCCCCAGCAACAACAACGCTCCCGCTCGAGACTTCCGTTATTTTGCTCAAGGCGGTGCTCCTCCTCGCCGCCGAAAACCGCCGTCCCGACAAAATCAGCGCTCCCGCTCGAGAGTTCCTCCCGTTTTACGTTGGACTGGCGCGCTACTCTTTCTCTCATCGGCGCCGCCCCCAGCAATAACAACGGTCCCGCTCGAGACTCCCCCCTTTTTTACTCAAGGCGGTGCTCCTCCTCGCCGCCGAAAACCGCCGTCCCGACAAAATCAGAGCTCCCGCTCGAGAGTTCCTCCCGTTTTACGCTGGACTGGCGCTCTATTCTCTTTTGACGTGGTGCCGCTCCCAGCAAGAACAACGCTCCTGCTCGAGGCTCCCTTTCTTTTTCCTCAGGACGTTGCTGTTCATCGCCTCCGACAGCCCGCGTCCCGATAAAACCACGGCTCCCGCTTGAGATGTATTCCATTTTTACTCAAGGCGGTGTTCCTCCTCGCCGCCGACACCCGCCGTCCCAACAAAACCAGCGCTTCCGCTCGAGACTTCGTTTTGTTTTACGCTGTACTAGCGCCTTACTCTCTTCTGCATTGGCGCCACTCCCAGCAACAACAGCGGCCCTGCTCGAGATTCCTTCCTTTTTCAATTCAGGGCCAGGTCCTTGCCTCGCCGCCGACAGCCCCCATCCCCACCAAGGCAATCCCGTCGCTCGATACTTCCTTGTGCTTTACCCTTGGCTGGGGCTCCGCTGGCGGCCTCGCATCGGCGCAGCAAGACGCGGGCATGCGTTTTCGCGGTGGGATATGTTGAAATTCCTCGGAGGGTGTTTGCAAGACCTCATTGGGCGGGTGATCTAACAATGGACAAATAGACCCCGCTATAGAACAATAGTCCCCCATGATGGGGATGGTGTTCATGCTGGTCGCATGCTTCGTGTGGAAACATCGCGAACATGAGTCTAAACTTATTATTG